GTAGCAGTAGCAGTAGCAGTAGGATCGGTTTCTAGGTTGCTAGGTACCCTTGCGAAGCCGAGGCACTCTGCTGACGGCAAATCGGGCAAATGCCTTCGGCAGCTTGACAAAAATTCCAGCACGGCTCACCTCAGCTTCGAGGAAGAGACTTCGCTGCTAGAAACTACGGCTTCCTGGGAAGAGTCTGACTATCGTGTCAGGACGTGCGACCGAAACTCTTCAGCCTGCTGCATTCCCACCTCCTTCAGTTGGTGGCACGAATGGCAGCACCAACGACAGGGATGACGGCCCGATGACGCTGCCGGTGGCTATGCAAAACGGTGATGGTACGTAATGTAGGGGCCATAACAATTAAAAAGGATTTTGGGGGTTCCTTTGTATAATAATAGTATAATATACCCCAAACCCTATTCGAATTATTAAGGCCCGTATTTTACTTTCAGACTATTTAAAGTTATGTTCCCTCACATCTCACAGAACACACAGCTTCATGTCCCTTATCAATCTCTCTCTCGCTGTCTCTTTCTCGCTCCATGTCGCTCCATCTTTCCCCATCCCTCACTTCTGATCGAATATCCGGTCGGGTTTTGTTGGAGAACTGAATGCGTGGTATTGCTACTTCCAGTTAAGGCACTCCGCAAAGACATTGACACTAGATTTCCGAGGCAAGCAACCCTGAAAAGTTCGGCTGCTTGCATCAACACCGAACTCTAAACCCTAGGGTTTAGGGTTTAGGGTTTAGGGTTTAGGGTTTAGGTTTAGGGTTTAGGGTTTAGGGTTAAACCCGGAATGAGTTTGCTCCAATGCTTTCCTGGCTGCACAAGGCGACCCGGCAAGAGTCCCGAGTGGCCAACGTGAAAATCGGGCTCCTCAGTGTCAGCCAGGAGGACTTGAGGTTGAGGGTTTAGACTTTAGGGTCTAGGGGTTAGGGCTTAGGGTCGAGGGTTTAGACTTTAGGGTCTAGGGTTTAGGGTTTAGGGCTTCGGGTCGAGGGTTTAGGCTTTAGGGTCTATGGCCTAGGGTTCAGGATGTGGCATTTGGGGCGTAGTTAAGGCTTCTTCTCGCCGGCTTTCGGGCGAGGGTAGAGGTTTAGGGTGGCTGTACGGACGGACATGTAGTTACAGATAGATGTCACACAAAAATATCCGTAGCGACGTGGAACATAAAATGTGCAATGCTACGCAACTCTATTGTTCTGAAGTAACAGTAGTAGCACAATACAATGCAAACCGTTCACCAAGTAGCTTCAAACGGCAGCGCGACTATACAAGCACACAGCAATGTAGAGCAGCGAATGATCAAAAACCAAAGTCGTGCCGACAATGCCACAAAGTACTCTGCAAGTTACGTCCTAAACCCTAAACTCTAAACCCTAAACCCTAAGCCCTAAACCCAAACCCTCAACTCGAAGCCCTAACCCCGAACCCTCAACAGCAGAACAGCAATCTTTGTCCCGATTGCCGAAGCGGAGACCAAGGTCGCCGAGGGAGGGGACCTATGCCATACCACAACATACGATGCAATACCATTCTAAAGCTAGGGTTTAGGGTTTAGGGTTTAGGGTTTAGGGTTTCTAGAGCTAAAAGACTCAAGCTTTAGGGGTTGAGGGCATGGGGTATAAAAATACTACGACGTACTATACTAGACGACACTGTACGACTATGCTGTACTAGTACAGTACAGTACTGTACTCTACTATATGAACTATATGAGACTATACGATACTCTACTGTACTACACTTGTTTTTTTCACGGTTTCGGGGCAAAGGAACACGAGGTCTGCTAGACCATACACTGGGCCGCAGATTAACTTGTATTGTTGTTGAAACAGCTTATAGATTCGGCACTAAGATCCAGCCAGACGTTCGAGCCTTCAAACCCCAGAACCCTCAACCCTAAACGCCAGAGCTCTGAACCCTAAAGCCTCATACCCAAAACCGCCGGAACCCTGAACCCTAAACTCTGTTCCCTGATCCCTGGACCTCACCCCCTAAGCCCGGTCCCAGTTCGGATGAAGCTCTTCGGATCAATACCCTCCTCTGTGCTCATGCTGGCCCACTCTTCCTCAGAGCCTGACGCTTCTTTGGCTTCATGGTTGTGAGCTTCAGCAGCGCTTTTAGGGAATTTAGGGGCTTGGGGGGATTCGGAGTTCAGCGCTTAGGTTTTCAGCTATTCAAGGCTTGGGGGCTCGCTTGGGCGGTGAGATCTGCGAGGCTGTGTCGGGTTTCCACTCTAAGCGGTTGCCGAGAACTTTGGCCCACGTAAACTAAACATCAACCCTCAACCCTAAGCCCCAAGCCCGAAGCCCAAAACCCAGAATCCTAAACCTAAACCTTAAACCCTGCCAAGTTGTAGGCCCTGAAGCGCGAGAAGTTGGGTCTGAAAGCAGCAAACTCGACGCGGCTTCTGTTGAAACTAGGGGGGCTTACAAGCGGATCCCCAAAAGGGGCTCTGCGTCGTGTAGAGGCCTGCGTGTTTTTGGAATGAGGGGCTTTACTATAGTTAGGGTTTAGGGTTTAGGGTTTAATCATTATAAGAAGCCCTCGGGAATACTGTTATGTCATTGTTCATTCTTCAAGATGAACGGCTGTGTGGCAGATGTCATATCATCGATGAAACTACGTGCATGGTGCCTCGGCCATGGATGGCCTTGATCTCTTTGATGGCGTGGTCCTTCTGAAGACCGAAGATCATGAATCATGGTATACTTAACCCTAAACCCTAAACCCTAAACCCTAAACCTTCTTTACAGAAAGAACCCCCAGTCGCAACAAGCAGTCGGTGTAAAAGCTGCTCACGATCTTACAACCGTGGTCTGAGCATGAAAGCAACTCGTCCATGCATGCGAAAACATCAGACTCCTAGCTTCAAACCCTAAACCCTAAGCACGTGCTCTTATCAGCTTCGATAGACCATGTCATCCCTCAGCGTCCCACTAGGCCTGTCTTGCAAGAACCATGTTTTGCTCCTGAACCCTGCACCCTAAACCTTAATCCGCAAACCTCTAAACCCCTCACCCAACAATACCTCTACCCTGACCCAGACCCTTCTGTCTATAGCTTCACTGCTGGCGCGATGTCGCTTGACTCGACCGGTCGCTAGAGCAGTTCAACACACTCAGCGGTTTAGGGGTCAGGGTAGGGTTTAGGGTTTGGGGTTTGGGGTTGGATTTAGGATGTAGGGTTTAGGGCTTGAATCATGGCACTTAGCGAAACCTCTTCTGCAACTTAACTTTTGGACTATAAAACCAAAAACCCTAGGGAAACGTAGATTTCAGGTCCTCAAGTCCAAGCTACGCCCCGAATTGCACAGCAAAACTCCTGGCAGATCTCCCGAAAGCCAACATCCTCGACGTACTCCTGGGGCCGTTGGGATTTGGGGATTTTTCCAGGTTTACGGCTTTAAGGCTTCGAGGCTACACCCTAATCAAAGGCTTAAACCCTAAATCGTGAACCCTAAACCCGGCACCGCCAGGATTTGGGTCGGATTAAGCCTCTGCCTCCTTACCTAACCCTAAAGTCTAGACCCTAAACTTTCAACCCTAAACCCTAAAATCCCGACCCTAAACCCTATAAACCCTAAACCCTCAACCATAATCTACAACCCTGAACCCTACATGGGATAGGGTCGAGAGGCTGTCGATGAAGAGACTGCGCTTGCGAGGGAAGGCTGGGGTAGGAGCTTCTGCTCTGCTTCGCATGTAGGACAGATCTGACGTGTCTAGCCTGCATGGTTTTTTAGGGTTTAGGGTTTTTTGAGTGAAATAAGCCGATCAGCATAATCAGGAACTGCTGATGACTGCCGTGGTCTAGATTTCTTGGGTTCCGCAGCTCACAGCAGATCGATCGTGTCTCTCCGGTGTCGTCGCCAGTCTGTCAGTTATATACCCTCCCAGCCATGACCCTAAACCCAAAACCCTAAACCCTAAACCAACAAAACCCTAAACCCTAAACCCTAAACCCTAACATCGCTGTCCGAAGTACCAAATTACCAAACACTCGGCCCTGCATTTCCAACCCCGGAAACCCAAACTCCAGAATGCTTTGGCCGTTTTGGCCACAGCCTATAATCGGGTTTAGGTTTTTGGGTTTAGGGCCCTAAACCCCTATTCCCCTCAACCCCTAAACTCCTAAACCTCCCCCTGCGCATCCGATGTCTCCTGGTCGAATATGAGCTCGGCCGCGGCGAGGGGTGCCAGGTGGCCGGGCTCCTCCACACCTCTTGAGGAAGGGCTTAGGGTATAAGGGTTCACAACCTACTGGCTAAAACCATGACAAGGAGCTGGAGAACCAGCCGCCACGAAGTGATTGGATGGTGCATCTGGTACCTTTTCCATGCGAGGCTTCGGCAGAGGGTGCAACAGCAATCGGGCCACATGCGGAATTATAACCGAAGCCTCAGCATTTTGTTGCAGACGGAGGTCCACTGACAGATTCACATTGTGCGCGGAATACTTTCTCCGCTTATAAAAGCGCTCTGCCCTCATCTCGGGAAATCACGAGCGCAAGCCGCAAGCCCGAAGTCGTGAGTGGCAAATCTGGGCTAACACGGACGAATGCGGATCATCACGGGTATAGAGAAACATGACTAAATAAATACATACATAAACAGATAAACATATACATACATACATACATACATACATACATACATACATACATACATACATACATACATACATACATACATACATACATACATACATGTGTGTGTATACATATATATATATATATATGAACAGTAGAAGATGCCTTTCCAGTGCCTCTCCATATGGGGTTGCGGACTCTCCTGACACAAGTGACAGGTGTCTTGCATCGGTGCCATCAGTCCAACTCTACTTGGACTGGACCTCTTGCTCCTGCATGTCCTTCGACATGGTACGTGGAAATTCGCCACATACCACTTACTGCATGTTCTCATTGGGGATGTAACCCACCTAGTTGGGACTATTCTGACCCATAACCATCCTAATCAAAGCCCGCAAAGTAAATCTCCTGTTCCTTCAAGCAAGAAACTCTAAACCTTACACCCTGAGCCCGCAATGCGTAGCCATGAACTCCAAAACTCCCAAAATCCAGACCCCAACACCCTAAACTCCTAAACCCCTAAACCTCTAAACCTCTAAAACCCCAAAATGCACAAAAGTTACTGCTGTAGTGATGTTTGTGGGTTTCAGGGTTCAGGGTTTAGCACGCTCAAGGACATGCAGGGAGCTGGCTATACAAAATGTGCGGGATGTTCTCAGCGGTCCAACTGACCGCTTGAAACCCACCTCTACAGTGGATGGCTCGAGAGGAACTGCGTTAAAACTGCGGATTTAGACAGATGCAGATCCAGGTCTCGCCAGTCGCACTGAAAATCTGAAGGCAGGAAGCGTGCGGCAACCAGAAAGGGGTAACCAAACAAGTGAAAAAAACAAGCTCCCTATCTGTTCCTTGCATGCGACGAAGGTCTCGTTGGTCGCTGTTTCACTTCCATCTGTGCATCTTACTTGAAAAACCAATTACGGGCTGTAGCTTTGCAAAGACATGTAATGCAGGCCAAGTGGCCAAGCCCCTCGAAATGAGTTCTCCAAACCCGTCGGAGCTGCCAATCCTCGGCTCCCTCAACTCTTGCGCCAAGCCGCGACGGCCCCTACTGCCGCCAGCATCGCTGAAGCCACCAGAGTCGGCTGATGTTCCCAAAGGCCTCTAGGGGTCCTTTGAGAAAAATTACAAGAGTGCCTTTAAGGCTTCCGTTTAGGGATGAGGGTTTTGGGTTTAGGGCTTGTAAGGGTTTAGGGTTTCGGGGTTTAGGGTTTCAGCCCCTAAACCCTAAACCCTAAACCCTAAACCCTAAACCCTAAAACCCTCAAACCTAAACCCTAAAAAACCCTAAACCCTAAACCCTAAACGCGGGGTTTAGGGTTTCAGCCGTCTCAAAGGCCTTCTTGCGGCCCAGCTCCGGAGGAGAGGCGCCGGAGTCGCAGATCGCTGGCTGCTCCACCTCCGGCCTTCGCCACTGGTATAGGCTTTAATAGCGTGCTCGGTTTAGGGTTTAGGGTTTAGGGTTTAGGGTTTGGGGTTTTAGGGTTTAGGGTTTAGGGTTTAAGGTTTAGGGTTTAGGGTTTTGGTGTTATGCTTGTTATCGGGTATCGTCAGGTTTTATTAAGGATTTCTAGGGGTCTTAATCATGAGGGTGTGGTTTGGGGTCTTGGGGGGGAAGAGACGAGGGGCTGAAGCCCATCGGAAGAATCCGCTCGGTTCATGATGCACAAGCCGGGGCCATGGAAACTCTTTGGCCGCCCTCTTCCACATCCGGCACCACAAAGATGCAAGGAGCCCTCCTCAAGCTTGAAGATGTAGGGGATGATCGCACTCGGAAGCTCGAGGTCCAAGGTCATGGGAAGACTGAGGCAGTTCATAGTGTAGTTGGCCATGAAGGTCTGTTGTCCGACGGTTACCAGAGCTCTCCCCTCTTCTTCAAAGACGATGTGCTGGCGGTAACCCCCTAGACTTTCACTCACGGTACCTTCCCAAGAGCCGATGATGCCAGCCTCATCACAACCACGGCGTCCCGTTTTGAAGGCCACCTAGGAGGGTTCTTCGGGGCTTCCTGTACGGCTTCCTGTTTAAGGCGTTCCTTCAAGGAGTCTTTGGGCTTAGGTCTCTGAAAGCTTAGGGTTGTTGGTTCTTTTTGGGAGTTATAAGGGTTCAGTTTGTTTTAGTGCTTAGGGTCTGGTCATTGTAAAAATGACCCCCGAAGCTATGATACCCTAAGCCCTAAACCCTAAGCCCTAAACCCTAAACCCCCAAAGCCTAAACCCGAATTTCTGAAGCTCCCACCTCCTCCAGGAGCTTGCTTAGGGTCATCGTCTCATCACCGGCATTGGACGGCGAGCACCCGCACGGAGAGGCGGCACCCTCATCACCAAAGTCCATCGCTTGGCTGCTTGCGAGTACTGCCTTGATCGTGAAGGGGTTTTGTAGGCTTTACCTAGAACCGAAAAGACCTTCATACCTGTTTAAGGAACTATATATATAGGCCATAATAAGGAACCCTAAAAAAGCAGGACTTTTCGGGTACAGGTCTGGTTTTAGGGTTTCGTGGGTAGGGTCAGGGTTCAAGTTTTCCGGGGTTTCGGATGAAGATTCGTGAGGCGTACAGGGTTTGTGAGCTTGCTTTTCGGGATTCTTTAGGAGGGTTTAGGGTTTAGGAGCTTAGAGCTT